ATCATGCAAGTCCATTGTGATGATATGATCCGCTCCAGCACAGGTCAGGAGATCTGCAACAAGGGTTCCGGCTTGCGCGACCCATTGTTTGTAACCTAGTTTTGCCTGAAAAACGCTTTTGTTAATGATGGTGTGGTTCTCGTAGTCGTGAGTCGTAAAAGAAGGGCCAGTCTGCGAACCCATGGAGCTACCACGATCTCGATTGTCCCGGCCATTGGTCAGCGATGAAAGAGAGTCATTGGTGTCGGATCGTCGAGGTGTAATTCCATTGGTATAGGTATAGCCATTCTGCTGATCTAAAGAAGTTTTGGCTAGCTTTTTGTGCAGGACTTCGGTGTTGCCTTGACCATTGGTGAGCCCTTGACTCTGCGGTTGTGATGGACTGGGTGTTGCAGGCCGACTTTCGAATGTAAAATCGTTTTTATTAATGTCTGTTGGGGCTTTCGAGAGAGGGGCGCCGGCTTTATTATAGGGGACATCGGGTTGTCGAGAGTAAGGAAACAAGGGAAGAACTGCTGTAACGCGCTTCGCAGATCCAGTTTTGCATGCTGAGATCATGATACACAAGTCGATGAAGTTATCATTGACCTTGCCACTTCCTGACTGGATAATGTATACATCTTTCCCGCGTACAGAGTCCTGGATTTCAAGGCGGCTTTCTCCGACAGAAAATTTACTGAGAATTCGATTGCAGGGGGGTACGCCAAGGAAGTTGGAAATTGTTTCGACAATTTGAGGGTGGGAATTGCCCCCAAGAACAACTATATTACGAACCATGATGCAGTTATGATGTTGGTGGTAGGTCTGCGATTGATCGAGGTTGAAGAAAAAGTCTGACGGTGGTTTACTGCGGGATTTCGTTAAGTGGGCTGGATAGCCGCGGTTCTTCGAAAAGGTAGAAAGAGAGGATGACGCCGATGCAGGCTCGAGCAGCCGCAGAGGGAGAGAGAAACAATGTTATGAAGGCGGAGGGAGAATAAGCAGGCGGTCGATAAGTTCGCTATCCATCTGGTTGTTGATATATTGAATATGCAAGAGATGCAATGTCGTGCGAGCTCGAGAAAAACTGCTCGTTCGTCAAAGAATGCAATTAGCCTAAACCTAAAGGGGGGTAGCTCGTGGTGGGGTCAATGCAAGGCTGAGAAAGCAAAAATATTGTCGGCCATTCATCGTCGTACATTGTCATCGTCTGCACCACCACAAACACAGACTCACGATGAAGATTCTGGAGGCGCAAGCCGCAACCCTGACCAATTATGAGGTTTATACCCATTTGCAGGAGCAAAAGCTCCGCCACGCAGAGGTGAAACTTGAGGAGGAAAGGAAGCATCGAGAAAAGAAGGCAAAGTTAATTGCAAAGGCGAAAGAGACGGGCAAAGAGATTCCATATTTACGCGGTCCCGGACATGATGGCGAAGGCAATTCGAGCAGGCGTCCTGGAAACCTCAACACCATGAGAAAGGAGGTGAGTAAGTTGATTTCCTTGTTGTTCGCATTTATTGATTTCGAAAAGGTCTTGGACTACCTTGGAGAAGCTCCCTCGCCGCTTGGATCGGTCCCTTTTCCATACAATGAACGAACGATTAACAATCTCCTCAAAGCCCTTCGCGCTTGGGATATCACTAAAGGAGAGATGATAATGATTCTGAATCTGCGGCCGACCAAACCGGAAAATCTGCATGTGGTTGTTCAACAAATTGAGGATCGTTTTTCTGAAGAGGATCAAAGCCACATCTTGCAGGTTATCAGCGATGTGCTAGGTCGGCCTGATGGAGGTGCCGAGAGACAGGCCATGAACGAAAATGCAAAGGAAGCCAGAAAAGAGGAAAGAGCGAAGGAAGGGAACCTCGGAGAAGGCATGGATGTTGATGCATGAAAAGGAAGGAACAGTGCATGAGTCAGCGGAGTTTGGGCATATTGCATTGCTGGCGTTTGTAGGAACTACTTGATGATTAGGATGAGGTATACCCTTTATGTTCCGTACGAATTAACGAATCCGGAATAGCAGTTCAGTACTTCTGAAGTTCTCGTTTGCCGTTTTTGCAATTTTCTGCACGCTTTCGGGGCCCCGTTATCGCATACTACGCCATGCTATGATTTGTCACGCCTTGTCAATCGGAGAAATGGGCCTAATCGCTTTTCTGCAAAGACACGGATTAATTCGAGCTCTTACTCTTACAAGTCGATAGAGCTTTGCTGTGGTCCTCAGCAAGAGCGCTTCAATGATGCAAGCTCAGCATCAGAGAACGACAAGGTTCTCCTTTCCCAATCCTAGTCCGCATTCGAGCAGAACTTCCTTGCATGTAGTTCAAGCTCCATCATTTTCAAGCGAAGAAGAATAGGGGAAAGATAGAAAAGAGGCTCATCACCCAGGTTCACGTGACCTTGTCGATCTTGGCGATCTCTGTTGAGCACCATCGTATCGTACGTAAACCGTTGCTTCTCAATGAAGTTAGTGTTACTTTTACATCTTTACTTCTTTATTTCCGTGCCAAGCATATCGTTTATCGTCAGTGGCTGGTTGATGTCAATTTCACTCCACAGCAAGTTCAATTTACCAGCCCTAGCCGACTTTACGCATTCGAGAATGCCGATACTACTATGGAGAGCTCTACATTGCTCCTCCCGGTACCTGTCTTGGTTCACAGTCTAACCACTACTCCGGATGCTACTGATTTTCAGGGTCTTGTGTACCAAAATATTCCGCATGACGTGCAGTTGCTCGCACGAAATGCCAAATGCGGGAAGCTATGTCGTTGAAGAGGTAAGTTGCAATTGTATCAATAAGTTGAAGAATGTTATATATACATTAAGTTGTTTCTTTTAAAGATCCCCTTCATCCATCAATCACATTTCAAGAAACCCATCAAATCACGATAATCACAATATCTCAACAGTCTCGAGGTTTTAACAGTCAAAACGAACATCAACACCAATCTCAGAAATAGTCAAAATGGTCTCCTTCACCCTCCCAACCCTCACACTCGCCCTCGCCGCCCTCAGTAGCGCCCTCCCCTCCACGACCAAGCGTCAAGCCGTCGCACCAGGCGAATTCGTCCTCGGCCTCCACGCAGAAAACTACCCCTATCTAACCCTCAACACCATCCAATCCTCCGTAATAGGAATATACGATCTCGTCTTCGAGCGTCCCTCCGTCTACCCCCGGCACAGCCGCCCACTTCAACGCCACCCGCCTGATCTTCATCCCCCATCCAGCAGCCAAAGGTTTCACTGAAGGAACAGGATATAGCATGAGTGTGTTGAGTTTAGTAGGAGCAAGCGATGGAACCTTTGCTGTGACAGCAAATTATGGAGATAATGGCGATGAGGGGTTTGGGACTGTGGGGGATGACTTGCATTGGACGTATCAAAGGCAGGGGAAGGGGGAGCATTTTTTCAGTGTGTAATGGTACTTCGAAAGGGAAGGAGAGGCTTGCGCTTAGGTATGGAGGGTTGACGGAGGAGTGTATTGCGGTTGAGTTGGTTACTTCTTAAGTGATGCTTGAAAGTTGACAGAATAGGGATTCTGAGAAAGCGAGGAATAGTTTGGAGGGAAGATAGTGATTCTTGCATTTCCTGTGTGAGGAGCATAGCATAGTTAGCATTAGATTACTTTTACGTCTTTTTATACATTATAAATTTACGCATATACATAGATAATAATCTGAATTTAGGAATTTAAGGATTGCCGAAACTCTCGTCAATCGCTATTTACTTTTCATGTATGGATTCCTCCATCAACGAGCGCCTCCGAGTTCATTCCAATATCTGGAAACCAGAACTTTGAACTCGCCGCCTATTTGGGACAGTGTTCACACCCTCGAAGTGAATACACAAAAACGATCCCATCATGCCGCTGTGCTAGTCACAGCTAAAAATAAACCTTATATATAACAAGCACAGACCTGGACCCTTAAGCTTCTGAATTTCAGGTCGCGGAGGGATTGATGGAGCTGGGTGGTTTGGTTGGTGTGGAAGCGCGTGAGATATTTTCGGGAAGCGATAGGGGAAAGAGAATAGAAGCCGTGATGGTTCCTGTTTCTCTTGTGGGTGTCTCTACAAGGTTTGCCTCTTGGAGTGCTTGCGCATCGTGAGTGAGCTCTACGTCCTCGGAAAAAGCTTCAAGGAAATAGGTTTCCACGGTTAAATCTTGAGATGAGAACTGCGAAATGTGACCTTGGTTCTTGTGGCGATCTCTGTACCCAGAAGTCAAGAAAAGAAAATTGGATTTAAATAACAATATATTTTAATTTTGAGTGCGCGCAAAACAGAGATTAGATAGAAAATCAGTCAAGTGCGAGGTAGAAACCGGCATGATTATACTTTTGAAGACTTCGTGCTAAACTAACAACTTGCTAGTCCCCATCCCGCACCACAAACGCGCCTGGAAGTAATACGGCTTCAGGTAGTGACTCACTCGTAAAGTTCGCTTTTGAACTTATTATGAAAAAGAATTAAGTCGTTATTTGAACTTTGTAGAATGTGGATTGGGCTTATATCAGGCGAAAGTTGGACTTCCTTTCCACCGAGTTTTGATACAGTCTCATTGTACTTAATCAATTTACGAGCCATATATCTTATCTACAAGATACCCCAAGACTGTGGATTGATGTGATAGAAGTTTGCGATGTCATATCTTAAGAAATTTATAGTTATACTTTAAGAAAACCATGTCTTGGGAAGGGGGCCATAAGTGAATTCATGTAAACAATGGCTCTAAAAATTCGGTTTTGTGAATCTTTTGTCCCTCTAAAATGCACTCCAGCCATAAAGCCCCTTCATCTTCAAGCATCGGCGAACAAGGCGTCTAAACTCCGGTATTTCCTGTTCAGTGTTGTTTTCCCCCCTCGCTTAACCTCCTCGGCCTCAACTTCCCAAAAAATTCACCACATAAAACGCCAAAAAAAGAATCCTAAAAGCGCACAATCTCCACCTTCCCTAGAATATTATCTATTACCCTAGCAACTCATAAGACTCCGAAAAATGACAAAAAATACTTGTGGCCTCACAGGGAATCGAACCCTGATCTCCAAGTAAACAAACGCCAACGCCTGGAAATGCAGCAACGAAAGAAGACTCCCAACGCCAACGCCGTCCAAATGCTAAGCACGTTTGATCTCGACGTTCTACCATTGAACTATGAAGCCTATCATTAATATTTGTTTGAGAATGTGCTTAACTATCGATTTATCGGATGCGGGAGAGGATAGGTGGGAAAGGGAAGGAAAAGTGGGGATGGCTGAAGATGGAAGTGGAAGGGTGTGGAGGTAGAGGAGTTGGGAGGCAGAGGGGGTGTGTTTCGATGAATGAGGGGATGGGGAAGGTGAGTGGGTGGGTGGAAGCGTGGTGGGCGACGAGGGGAATGTGGAAGGTGAGGTTGGCGTAGTAGGTTGGGCTTCAGCTTCACTTTTGGGGACGTTCATTCACTTGAGCATTTCAGGGCGCACAAACCAAGGCCCTCACTACACAATGCATGTCTTATTTACTAACTTTAAAAATGTGTCATTATTATATTTTGAGTTGATGGCTTCTCTGGTATAACGCTTCTCAACTGTAAGAAAGTTCATTCTCAAGCCATGGCGACTGTCTAGGACGACAACGTCCTTCACCAGAATCTCAACACGGCTCTATTGTTTGAGAGAATACATTTGCTATACTCCTTGTACAGAAGGAATTCTTACGTCGTTCGACCTTTTTAAGAATTGTTAATCTTATACATTGATGATTCATGGTCTATCTGTTTATTGGTGTTCCGTTTAGAGGCCTTGATGGGCTAGAACATTAAGGAAAATGTCATGATCATTTGAAAAGAAGGCTTACTTGGAGGATGGATTCTCGTGTCTAATTTCTCAATGGTATACCTTTCTACAGCCAACCTTCGGCGCCTCCAAATACTACAAATCACCAAGACGCCATTTTCCAGTCCGTGAACGCCAAGACATACGCGATTATTTCTCCGCTGCAAGTACCATCTTCTCTCTCTCGTTCCTTCGCTTCTTGAATTGTGCCTTTGTATGCTTACGCTCATTCTCCTCTCTTCTTTTGATAGCCTTGAGCTCTTCGGATTTGATTTCTCCAGCTTTCTTGATAACCTTCGGAGTGTGCCTGTGTCGTTTGATACGACGAATTTCGGGCATGTGAGCATATCTCTCTGTCAATGCCTCGTTATACTCTAAGGATTGTCGCTGTTTCGCGGACTTGATTCCTTCCCGCTTTGAAGCATTTGCCCTCCACAATCTGATGTTGCCGTCATCTGACCCAGACAGAATATATTTCGAGTCTGGCGTAAATTTTGCAGAAAATACTCTCTGCATCCGCTTCGTGTGATAGACGTCTCTTGAGTGTCCCTTCATTCGGCTCCATAATCTGACTGTGCGATCATAGGAAGCACTAACGAGCTCCTCTCCCGTTGGTGAAAATTCGACGTCCATTACGGCTGCCACATGATCTTTCAACACGTTCAGAGCTCTATTCATCTTCCGCATATCAAATATATAGACATTATGATCTTCATTCGCAACTGCGAAATTAAATGCTTCCATGGGGTTCCAAGATATCGAGTTCGAAGCAAAATTGAGAATTGTTTTGGCTAGAGGCATCGATGTCCGTAGATCATAAAGCACAATCGATCGGTCAGTTGCGCACGATGCTAATACAGAGGTTTCGGTCTGGTTGAAGGAGACGCAAGTAATGGTATCGGTGGAGGTTGGCCATTTAAGCACTTCCGGCGGCGCATTGTTCTTCTCCAAATCATAAATCGAAATGACCCCAGAAGAGGCTGCGAAGGAATTCTGGGATCTGTGATGTGACAAACTGGTGAAAGCGTTCGTCCCTAGCCAGGTTGCAGCAGGCGCTGTTTTAGAAGGTGTGTTGTATGGGTCGAAGAGCTTAATTGATCGATCGCTGGCGCAAGTCAAAAGCTTCTTGTCTCGGGTCCAGCACATCCCCTTCACAATGTTCTCATGAGCATTCGCATTCCATATTTCCTCTCTGCTTGTCAAATCCCAAACTTTAACAATGCCATCACCACTTCCACTGGCAAATCTCTGTAAAGAGTTTGGGTCCTTCGCCATCGTATATACACCGTCGACATGGCCCTTTCCCAGCTGCGCAATGAATGGCGCAGCAAACATTCGTTCTAATTTCGTCGAGTTCAATGCTCTCTGATATTCTCTTGCGCGCGCAAATGGATGCAGAGCAGGATCGAGGTTGCGGGGTTGTCTCGCGACATCAGAGCCTGGGGCCTGCGCCGAGGCGGCTGGCCGGCTGAGAGCTTTTATTTTCTGTGATCATTACTCAGATATTGTATCAAACTATCCATAGAGCTACTTACCATGTTGAAATTATGTTGTGGTTGCCATTTCTCAAGGGTACTTGATTTCGTAGAAAAGTTCGATGAGGTCGCTCAAAAGCCCATCGCAGAGGAACATTTTTGCAGGGGTCCGCACTAGCGCGCGACCAGGCCTGTGAGCTTTCAGGCGAATAGCTTCATACGCAACCCTCTGTAAACACTCTCCTCTCACAAACCACAAAACCACATTCCACCATGGCGCCCGCAGATTCAGCAAGGATAGAGGAGGCGAAGAAGTTGGCAAAGACGGATCCTAGAAAGGCAGAAGCACAATACAAGGAAATCATCTCGAAACCGCCTTCTGTCACCTCTGATGCTGCTGTACGAGAGTACGAAACCGCGCTGGTCAGCCTGGGGGAGTTATATCGAGATGAGAAGTGAGAGGAGATGGATCCAAGATCACCGAGGAATATGCTAATGATGATGCAGGAGAGCAGATGATTTGGTAGACTTGATCACGAAGAGCCGGACAGTACTATCCTCGTTCGCAAAGGCGAAGACGGCGAAGCTTGGTATGTTTTTCTAATTTCGGGCGCTGGAAAGCCGGCAGACAATGTTTCTAGATGATTGAGGTGTTGCTTGGGATGACAAAATGCTGATTGGAGATTTCTATAGTCCGACAACTCCTTGATCTCTTCAACGCCATCCCCAACACAACAGATACACAAATATCGGTCACAAAGTCATGTATAGAATGGGCGACATCCGAACGCCGAGGCTTCCTCCGCCAAAACCTCGAGACTCGTCTTGTCGGCCTTTATATGATCAAGCAATCCTACTACGATGCATTGACTCTCATCAACAGCTTGTTGAAGGAGCTCAAGCGCCTGGATGACAAACTCGTTCTCGTTGAGGTACAACTGCTGGAATCAAGAGTCTACCATGCGTTAGGGAACGTCGCAAAGGGTCGAGCAGCACTTACAAGTGCTCGTACAAGTGCCGCATCTGTGTATACACCACCTCTTCTCCAAGCAGGCCTAGATATGCAATCGGGAAAGCTACACGCAGAAGACAAAGATTTCAACACCGCCTTCTCCTACTTCATCGAAGCCCTCGACGGCTACCACACCCAAGACGAACCCGAGAAAGCCACCGCAGCCCTCCAATACATGCTCCTCTGTAAAATCATGCTCAACCTGGCCGACGACGTCAACCAACTCATGACATCCAAGCAAGCCCTCAAATACGCCGGCAAGAACCTAGAAGCCATGAAAGCCGTCGCACGCGCACACTCGAACAGATCTCTAGAAGAATACGAGAAAGCATTGGGAGACTACAGACACGAACTCGGCAGCGACCCATTCATTCGCAACCATCTCCGTCGTTTGTACGACGCCATGTTAGAGCAAAACCTCATCAAAGTAATCGAGCCCTTTTCCCGCGTCGAAATCGACCACATTGCCAAGATGGTTGGTCTCGATACGCAACAAGTCGAGCGCAAGCTCTCACAAATGATCCTCGATAAGGTGATTATCGGAGTCTTGGATCAAGGTGCTGGGTGCTTGATAATTTTCGATGAGACGGAGAGAGATGAGGGGTATGATGCTGCGTTGGCGACGATTGAGAAGCTGAGTAGTGTGGTGGATGTGCTTTATACTAACCAGGCATCTATGCTGGAGTAAGTGCTTGGGAGGGCTTAGATTCGGATGGCATAATTGTACCATAAAGGCGCTTAGTTGAGGGAGGGGAATAAATGGCATCAATGAAAAGATTATGGCTTCGTCTGAAATATACGTCGGGTATCCTAAAATGAACACGGAATGTATGCATGGTGATAAAGTAAAGCGATGGTAATTTTGTTCATTCATAAATCCTAACACGAGACCTTTATCCAACCCCACCTCAAGGGTCAATACTCCAATTTTTACAATTTCCCATACATTTTCACGCCCAATCCCAATCCCTATGCTATCAACAAATATCCTAATCAAACGCCAACCTCACCAAACAATCCTTCCCGTCCCTCATTCCCCTTCCCACCAACCTCACCCTTCCTCCTCCTCTCCGCCCCCTTAATCAAACTAAAAACCCTCATAGCAATAGCCTTCTCCTCCCACCCACTTACATTCCCCCGAAACTCATCCACAACCTCTAAATGCCACTGCTCCATTACCATACTATCGCCCTCACTCCGCACCGTCCTCCCAAGTAGCTTACTAATAACCCTCGTAGAATTTCTTCTTCTCCTACCTCCATTTTCATCACCATTCTCGCCATCTCGGGGTTTCCACGTCTGGAGAATAGAGTCGAGGAGGTGCCAGTGGTCTTTGGACCAGGTTGTTGAGGAGAGGGAACCGTGGGGAGGAGAGGAGGGGAGAGGTGAGGAGGAGACGAATGTTACTGCCTTGCTGGGGCTGAAGTTTCGGGTTTCTGGGATGTGGTTGGGTGTTTTCATGGGGGAACGGAGACAGGATTTGGTGGGGGAGACGAGTGGTGGAGTTTGGTTGGTGGTCATGAGAGGGATTGCCTCTGTCCATTTCAGGGTTCTGCTCGTGATGTCGCGATTCTCTTTCTCGGCGTTTGATGCGATGGAGGTGCTGGAGTCGTTGAGATAATCTGGGGAGGAAGATTCTACTGCCGGGGTAGAGTTTGAGAGCGGAAGGTTATTCCTGCTCGGAGATGAAGGTGTGAGAGGTTTAGAAGAGGAAGAAGCTGGCTCTACGGCCTTGGTCAAAGTGGCGCTGGAGATGCCAGCAAAAAGACCAAGAGTCGCTTCAGCTGGTGGGTTCGTAAAATGCTCTGAAGCGTTGCTGCGGGATCTTGGACGGAAGTCCATTTTCTGTGGAATAGGAGTAA